GAAAACTGCCAACATTTCCTTATCGATGGTTCACTTTCTAAAAAGGCCATTGATTTCTCTCTAGAATGATGTACAAATGAGCGTTCTTGCTCATTTTGCTTCCGAGAAACATGCAAAACGGGACGGAAAACATGAAATTTTGCCCTAATCTTGCGCCAGCCTTGCTCAAAACGACGATAATGTTTCTGATTTCATAGACAACAGAAGCCTGTATTTTTCTACATAACCCCCCTTCTGAACTCGTTACTTACTGCGTATCCGCACTCAGCCTGAGCAAAGGCAAGGTGCGCCGCCACCAGCAGAAGAACGCTAAAGCTTCGAGGGCCTGCCATTATCACTACAAGGCCGGTTTATCTGCGAATGTGTTTATATAAGCGTCTGAACATCAACACTTAAGACGATATCTGTCCATCAGCTTATGGAAAAACAGATAAATGTGAAGTAGCAGCACCTTTAGGCAACAGATTAGGCTTGGCTTATTTGGTTGAATATTGCGGTTTTTTGGCCACCAGAACGGGCATTTAAAAAATATCATACAGAAAAAAGGTCTGAAGTGGACTACTTGCAAAGGCGCAATTGTTCGCAAATTTAAAGTGCGCATCTTGATTACGTACCGTGTTTGTTAGCTATGAAAAGTTTTCGAGTTATTGGACTTTGGAAAAAACTGCTATTTTATCATCGATTTTACCTTGATGCACTCGAGGCATTCGATAGCATTTGGTACATTTTTTGATTCTTTTCTGTTCTTTGACCCCCTCGTATTGGTTCTTCATTTATCTTATCTGTCGCTTTATATTGAATCGTTGTTTTCCAGCACTTTCCATGTCGTTATCACTATTTTTTGAGTACGGCAAAATTAATTTTTGGGAAATTTTCAGACTTTTACAACTGTCTGCGCTTCTTAATATCGCATTGTTTCGTTTCGATCTCAATGTTTCGTGGTTGACATGATTTTCTAATCATTAGAGCAAACCTCATTTTAAGTGTACCAAAAACTGATAATTTTTTGTTCCCAAAAACTCCAAAATTCAAAGTTTTGTTCCCAAGCCACTAGCGACTGGCTTCTCTGGATCGTGAATCTGAGCGGTTCGCTTCTCTGATCCTCATTGCTTCATCAGACAACAAAAAAAGGTTTTTAAAAATTTTAATTTACATGAAACAGTGTGATCAATGGAATAGTCGCAAGAAATGAGGCCGTTCCTCTTCATTGATGGCAGTGCGATCTTCAGAAAGCTGAAGACAGTCGAACCCATGAGATTGCGAGCTGATCGAATCAAAACCCTAAGCTTTTCGGTACCTTTCAGAATATATCTTCTAAATGAGGGGCGAGTGGTAGAGTTGAAAGAGGAAGAACTGGGGAAAGGATTACCTTAAACCTGGGCACATTCGCAAGTAAGCACCATAAAGGCACTTGAATATAAAATATGATTTCTTTTTTTTACAAACTTCTTTTTGGGTATTTCGCCTCAAAAGTTTTTGTCTGTAAAAAAGACAGAGTTTCCTCACGTCTTTTAATACAGATTGATAAATAGTGCTCCTATTTCGCAATAAGAACGAATTATTTATCAAGAAGTAATCAAGAACTATCACCTAGAGGCTCAAGCTGTAAGAGAAAAATCCAATTAGTAGAGAAATTAATTTGAAAAATTACCTTGACGTTTCGATAGCTATTTCTGCTAGAACCTAAATGAACTTAAAAAAGAGTATGTTAATAAATTGTGTAACAATAGTAGGATAATACAGTATATGAAAATTCGTCTGTGCAAATTGTCAGTTATACAATAATATATTTGAATAGTATAGAAGAAACAACTCAAAATTTACCTGAAGAACA